AAAAAAAAAAAAAAAAAAGATATAGAAAAAGAATACAGAAAACGTTTTGACTGATTAGCCAACACTGAAGCTTAGACTGCCAGTAAGAGTAAAACTTTCTAAATAATAGTAATGCCTCAGCTGAATGGTACAAACCCGAGATCAACCAAAGGAATACAGAAACATCCGATAGAGTCGCTCAAACCCACAGCTTACAATTAGCTATCTCGATTGAGAGAAAGGCTTAGCAGCTTGCTTTACACCGCCCTTAAACGACTCATCTGGCACCTGCTACGCATGTGATAAAAAAACTCGGTCAGTCAATGCGTATTATCTAAGCAACTCATCTGGCTGGACTTATCGCAAAGCCCGCTGGTCAGAGAATTCATTTGCATAGTTAGACCACCCTTTTTTTTAAGCGAATTGTACTGATGTAAAAACAGTGAAGCTGACGGATTTGAATTTGTATAAAGTGCAAGTTCTGTAGTGCTAATCACTGTCAACTAAAAACTTGAAATTTTTTTAGTTTTTTCTGGTTTTTTTACTAAATGCTACAAATATTTAGAGTTACGCGGCCTAATTTTGAAAGTAAAATTGTTTACTGTCGACCACCAAATGATTTCAGATAGTTAAAGACCTTCAAGATTTGAAGATTTTTTCATCACTGAGTTGAAAATTCCCATTTTGTTTTACCAACTCTCCTTATCACGATAATTGTTATAATGTCTGCACTGAAATGTCGCCTTAGACTGGATTCCGCTCAATTCAAATACCAAATTTACTTGAGCGCTTTTTGCTAAGGCAAATTTAGAACCCCCGTCAAACAACACTCACCTATACCTCTTCTTCAGAAGTATTTACATTATGCAGCTTAGAACACACTAAAACAAAAAACTGACAAAAAAGAAAATCAAAATACTGTTCTTCATTTCTCGTCTTTTATTTGCGGCTTCTATTCTGCCGACTATAATCCAGAAAGTCCAAATAATACCAAAGTCACAGGCCATTTATTCTTATGTTCCTCAAGTGCCTAAGACCTGTTATAAAGGTATATTCTGAGTATGAACAAAAACAAAAATTCTCATGTTATTAAAAGTTATTCAAAGCTTTTATTCGCCTTTTTAACAAAACTTTTAGAGCTAGTTTCCCTACTTTCTCCAACGGCTTTATGTTTCAAAACCATGAAACATGACAGCTGTGAAAGATTCTCGATACAACTAATGAACACTTCTTTAATATATTAACACATGTACCAGTTGTTTTAGCATGAATATTTTGCACAACTTTTCATCCAAGGCGAAATTCTATGTGAGTCCTATAAACCTGTTTTACTTCTGAGCAGTATTTCATTCCATAATAATGAGCAGCAATTGGCGTCAGACTGAATGCTTAAAACAGATATACGGGAATTCGTAAACACATTCGTTGGTGCTAGCTGCAACTGATTTAAAAATACGAAAAACTTTGTTACTAACTGTCATCCTAATTAAGAAGCGTAGTAGACTCAGCAAAACCACTATAGCGCAGCAGTTTTGGAATAGTGCTGCAACAAAGTGCATAAATAAAAGTTCTAAAGCGATTACTTTAAGAACAATAATTGTTAACTGCTTTTGGGATTGTTATAGGATTCATCGGAAATTAAGTGCTATGATGTTGTGTTTAAACAGTTTATTATTGCTTTATTTGTTGAGTTTTGAAATTGTTGAATTAGGACGATGCGAGTATGAGGTATCTGATGCGCAAAAGTTCTTACTATTGTTACGAACAGTTTTCGCTAGTAGATTGGCGATACTCTTCTTCAATATTTTTCAGTCTTCTTAATTTGTAAAAGTGTCATAGAAATGATTTCTCGCCTTTTTTTAGTGGCCTCTCTGTTTTCTTACATTTTCTCTTCCCGAAAACATGGCATTTTCGCCTTTCCAAATCCTCCATCTCACTACATATTCTTTGAACACCTCATTTTGAAATGATTTATTTTTCTGACTTTTTCACTTTCTTTTTTTGTAAATTGGATTCTTACGGGTACTTATTGCTTTTTGGGGAAACACAATTATGACAAAAAGACAGTTTGGTTGAGTTAAGGGATGGTGTGAACAAGAGATGGTATTTGGCCGTCCTTCTTCAGAATTGTTTTCACAATCTTTTTTTGTAACGAAACTAACTGATTTCTTACGTAATGAGGATTCAGTCTATTTATGATTTTGAATATCTGCACTGGAGGAGAGGGGAACAGCATTTTGATTTGGGAAACATCACGAGGAAGTAGTCATGGATAAATTTGCTCGGGATAGAGAGCAGTACTTTTAATCGGCATTTGAGATTTTAGGGAAGTTAGAGAAGAAGTGTGAACTTGTTAGAGGCGTTCAAAACAGATAAATCATCATTTTAAATGGCGGTAGTGAATCTGCCTTCTTTTTACTCGGAATACGAAGCAGTGGCAATTCTTCAAATGCAATTTTAATGAAAAATTTCTTAAGGTTTACAATGGTGATGAAGTTACATCGAGTGGCCACAAAGAAAATTAAGAAAGTTGGTGGAAGGAAGAAGAAGCAAGTGCTGAAGTTCAACATTGAGTGCAAACATCCAGTGGAGGACTCTATTATGAATGTATCAGACTTTGTAAGTTAAAATGTTTTTGAACTCTCAATAAGAAAAATTGCTTCAATGAACTTTTATTTTTTAAATTAGCTTAGACCTATTATTTTCATCAAAAGATGCGATTTTCTGTTCATTTTTGTTCTTCGTTTCAATATTTTTACTTCCTTGAGTCTGTTCCCCTCAACTTCGAAGTTTGAGTGCCACTGTGATTCCTTATACAGGCTATCCGTTTTCATTCATGTTGTTCCGTCGGGTTTAGGGTGTGGCAATTGTAGAAAGGTACTCGATGCCTCTTCTACATTGGCAGTCCCTAGTAATTTCCTGATGTTTTAAGGAGACTTTTTTGACTGAGCGTATTAAAGTGAATGGGAAAACTGGACAGTTAGCTGCAGCTGGCGTTCGGCTTGAGACTGCGAAAACCAAAATTATTGTTACTTCTGAGGTATTGTTACCTTGTTTGTTTATCATTACGGTTTATTTGTTAAATGGAGTAGCGTTGCTAACGTCACATATTACATTTGATCTGTTTCAGATCCCGTTCTCTAAAAGGTATTTGAAGTACTTGACAAAGAAATATTTGAAGAGGAACTCTCTTCGTGATTGGTTACGAGTTGTGGCGTCGTCAAAAGATACTTACGAATTAAGGTACTTCCAAATCAATGAAAATGATGAAGACGCTAGTGATAACGAGTAATAAAGATATCATTGTTGTTTGTTTGACTTTTTTGAAACTTATGGGAGATGTTTGTATTTTTGTAACTTTTACCAACTTCTGATGGAGTGAATGTTGGTGTTGGTTTTTGAAGCCTTGAACAGAGAAGATCATTTGGACGTTGAAATAAAATTGTGTTTAGAAGTGGAGAGTGTTTTATTCCACCTAATTGTCTTAAGCTCTTTGCTTGATTGCAGTAAATTTTACTGTATGGTTTGGATAATTTATAGAAAGAGGAGGCGGATTATTTTTGTATGAGTACGTCCAGCTATGGTTGTTGCCGGAAAGGGTTTTGTTCTAGTTTTCCTAGCGGATTTTGTGGCAGATTTGGTGAGTTCGGAGGTTCAGTTGGGCTGGGTTTGTATGGGGATGTTTTGGCAAGGATTTGGTGTTTTTGTCTGAGTGGAATGGTAGGTACTACGGCATTTTGCTCAGCATTGTTGCGCTGTGGAGAAGTCGATTTGTGCAGGCAGAAGGAAAAACAGTTTTTGTGTTGGGCTTGATTGAACCCAGGCTGAAGTACGCGGTTTTTCGAGTGGCGAGGGAGGGAGGGTGGTTGACTCGTTTATCATTACGTTTAAGAAGTGGAGTGAAGTTGGTTTATCATGTACAGAGGGGGGTTTTGTTGGAGAGGGGTTTTTTTGGACCTTGTGGTGTAGTAGGTGCTGGTTTTGGTTAGGCTTAATGTCTCTCAAACGAACTTTCAGCGCTGTCAGTTAGGAAGCGCGAATGCTGTGAAGGCAAGTGTGTTCACAGCAGTCGACTGGAATTTGAAAGTTTTTTAAAGCCCTGTGATGTGTATGTTCAGGAAACATGAGAATTGAAAGCACAAAAGGGATTGACGTTTAAAGAAGCGACAGTGTGAAGAGCAGTGTTACGCTCTCATTAATTTTTCATTGTCATACCTTGCTGCGGATTGCCGATAGGTTGTGAAGTGCGAAATTGCTGAAGCAGCTTATATTTAGGGAAAGTTCTTTCTTTATGGGATGCAAAAGTCAAAGCAAGGGAAGTCTGTAAAACCTTTTGATGGCAGTGAAGTGAATCCTGTATTGGGAAGCGAGGAGCACTGGAGTTCGCTTTATATACTGCTGGCTTCGTTTTCGTTCCGAGTTTTGCTGGTTTTCTATGGGCTTATCCACGATTATTTTTTTAAGGTTTGAACTTTATTTTGTACCTTTGGTAACTGTGGTCTTTTTAATTGACTAAAGGCTTTGTTCATTATAGGTGCGCTTTACAGACGTCGATTACAAAGTTTTCTCTGATGCTGCACGGTACGTATATGACGGAAGCTCCCCGTTTTTACGTCCGACGTTTCGTTATTCTCCACTTTTAGCGTGGATTTTAGTTCCCAACGTTTTCTGGCCTGAATACGGTATTTATATTTAATAGATGTTCTGTGATTGCTCTGGAATTTTTCAGCTATACTAGTAACATTATTAAACACCTATCGGTTGGTGGTGAATTTTTTTTAGAAGGAAAACAAATAAAACTGGTGAAATATTTGGTTAATGGTTCATGCTTTCAGGCAAGTTACTGTTTTGCTCTTTGGATATTCTTGTTGCTTGGCTATATATCTGCTTGTCGCCAAAACACGTAAGGTCTTACTTATGAAACACGTTGTAAAAGGCATTTTTTCTGTGTTGTTTTGATGATTTTTGAGAAAAATTGTACTTAATTTTACATCTTACAAGGTATTGATGGCTTTTTATCTGTGATACCTCTTCTCACTTTAAGGATTCAGGAGGTCTTAAACGCATTCATGACTGCGTATTATGGTTTTGGCTACTGAATCCGGTGACTGCGGTCATTTCTGCGAGAGGAAATGCAGACGTTTTAGTGTGCACTGTTGTCATTGCTACTTTATACTTTATCTTGAAGGAGAAGGTAGTTTTTAATCTTGTTTAATGCAACGTTTTTTCACTTCGTTTCACATAATAGTGTTTTACCCCTTTTAGGCTTACGATACTAAATAATACGAGACTGCGCGTTTCCAAGTTTTTATCATGCATCTTTCCGTTAATAATGTTCATGTTTTTTTGGACGTTTCAGTTAACCATTGCTGCCATATTACATGGACTAGCGATCCACCTTAAGTTGTACCCGGTTATATATCTTCCATCAGTTATCTTGTATTTGTCTGGAGCTCAACGTTCAGATAATTACTGTGTTTTAAAAAGGAAGATTTTTTTCAACAGGAAGGGATTTGCTTTCATCTTGGTTTGTTGTCTATTTTGCTTTTAAAATCGTTTTATTTTTTTAAAAATAATTTTGCTCGCCGCAAACATTTAATAATTACTGCGGAAAGGCTTTTATCTGTTTTATTTGCAGGTTAGTTTTTTAAGCTTCTCTGCTATTACCGCTTTATGCTACTGGTTATACGGAGATATTTATTACGAGGAGGCGTTTTTGTATCATCTGAAACGAAGTGACACAAGACACAACTTTTCTCCGTATTTTTACTTGTTGTACTTGTGTAGTGAAGAAGTAGGATTGTCTCGGCTTGTCAGTATTGGGGCTTTTCTGCCGCAAATAGCATTGGTCATTTATTTTTCTATCAGGTGAGTTCACTTTTTGTCCAACTTTTAGCATTTTTAATTTACTATTTATTTTATTGATTAAAACTTTTAGTGAGGGATAGGTAGAAAAAAACAGGTTTTGGGAGGACATGCATCTTGCAAAAATAGTGGCAGAATGCACCACGTGATTAAGCAACAAAATCAAATACTTTAAGTTTAATCAACTGCTTGATATCTTTTTGTACTTTTAAGATATTATAAAAGTCTTCCACTATGTTGGTTATTAACAACATTATCATTCGTCGCTTTTAACAAGGTATGTACGAGCCAATATTTTGTGTGGTATATTTCCCTCTTACCAACGGCGCAACAGCACGTTAAGGTATTGTACAGTTCAATTTAAAAAATAAAATATGTGTTTAAATTTAAAAACATTACTCATAATGGCAGGTTATATTGAAGATGTATTTTTAGTTAAGCAAGCAACAAGCAATTGTTCTTACAGTTATATGGTTTCTCGGTCAGGCTCTGTGGTTATTACCAGCATATCTGTTTGAATTTAGAGGTTACAATACTTTTCTCTACATATGGCTGGCGTCTCTAGTCTTTTTAGTAATTAACAGTGCAATTATTGTACAGATTTGTTTACATGCTTCTGAAGTTAAGTACCCTGAAATCATTAAAAAGAAACAGCAGTGAGAAACAGATTATATGTATTTTTTTTAAATTAATTTTCATTGTTTATAGTATTTCTTCTTGTCATTAACTTAAATTGTTTCTTCATCAAGTTGTATTATTTCAATTAATTATTGTGTTATCAGTTACAGGGCCGCTGCTTTAAAAAATTGTTTTCTTCACTTAAGTGTCATACATTCCTCTTGAACTTTGTTTTGTTAATTTATTGTTATTGGAAGAACAACATTTTTTTACATTATGTTAATGTTATCATTTCTGATATAAATATCACTTGCATTGGAGAAGTATTGTATTGCTTTTTTGAAATTTATGTTCCTACAAAAGATACATAGTTCAAAGTTGGCCGAGCTGTTATAAATGGTTACTGTTTTGTATAACCCGAAAGCGAATTGTTTTTCCTGATGTTTTGGTATAATGGGTGTAATTTCTCTGTAGTGTAGGTGCCGATGGTGTTCTTTATAATTGGACTGGGTTTGGGTGATGTAGAAGATATTACTCTACGCGGTTTGAAGGCCGTTAAAAGCTGTGATCGAGTATACTTGGAGGCATATACTAGTGTTCTTTGTTATGGTGTAAATCTTAGCGCTTTGGAAGATTTTTATGGTAAAAAAGTCATAACAGCGGACCGAGAGCTTGTTGAGCAAAGATCTGGTTAGCGTAACATTGTTTCTTTCAATTTTTTTTATAATTTTGTTGTAATTCAGGTACTATTTCGTTTTTTTAGCTGCATAGACTTTGGTTTTGGTTTTTTAGTGTGGGATGTCTCAGAATCTGGCATGGGATTTTGAGGGCTAAGGTTCTCACTACTTTGCAGATGAGTTGCTAGAGGAAGCTTCTAGCGGGAACGTTTGTTTATTAGTTGTTGGGGATCCATTTGGAGCGACTACACATGCGGATTTGATTTTAAGAGCGAAGAAAAAAAATGTAGATGTTACAGTAATACATAATGCTTCGATCATGAACGCTGTCGGTTGCTGCGGATTGCAGGTTAGAATTTCATTTTTTGTTCTACTTGGTGGCCTTTGTAATAGAAGCACGCAAATCTGGTTTTAATTCTTCTAGTAAAATTTTTTTTAGCTTTACAATTTTGGAGAGACAGTTTCAATAGTCATGTGGTCTGATGGTTGGGAACCTGATTCGTATTATGATAAAATCATAACTAACAGGCGGAGGGGTTTGCATACTTTGTGTTTACTAGGTAAGATGTTCGTATTCTCAATATGGGATCTATTCATTTTTTGAAAAAATGGAAATTTCCTTTACCGATGCATTCTAAGCTTTTTAGATATCAAGCTGAAGGAGCAGACAATCGAGAATTTAATGAGGTAAACGTTTCTGAAGTTTATTTTGTAAACTTTTTAAGCACTAGAAGGGGTCATTGCGCGCAGACTGTAGAGTTGTTTCACAGAACTGTTGTGCTCAACGGAACTTGAAACTTTTTTGCTTTGCGTTTCATTATTTTCTTCAAGTTAAGGAGAGTTTTTGTCACTCACAAACTGATTTCATATTGGTGCGTCACTGTTGAGCTATTCTATTTGAGGCGCGGATTTTGTAACAAATGTCACTTAATTATTTTTATTGCGCGCTGTTTTTGCATTTTTTAGTGGATCGCAAAAGTGGACTTGCTATTAGGCTTTATTTACCGTAGTTTAATATAATAAATTTGGGCACTGAATTGAAGTTGTGGAAACATACGTTAAATTGGTATGTGACTAATACTTCAAAAAAAAAAGAAAAAAAAATGACACGCTTCAAAAAACGCATCATATTTGTGATTTGGGGTCTTATTTGTATATAAAAAAAACTCATTTCATTTACCAGATGAAGTTAGTGAATGTATTTTTTTGGTTTATAATACTTCCTTCGTAGTAGACACTGTTCAAAGTGTGATGGCAGTGTCTAGGCAAACCTGAAGTTTTAGGGAAGTAGTTGGCAGACTTTTATTTGGAATACTTTCATTTTTAGGAATCGTAAGGTTTATGAGCCGCCTCGCTTTATGACGTGTTCAGAAGCTGCAAAACAGTTGCTGACCATTGCGGAAAGAAGAAGAATGACAGAACCTGACCTCTGTAAGAACTTTTTATCTACAAACCAAAGTAGCTTTGTTTTCTTTAACTATTCCCTTACATTTCTGTTTGAGATTGTATTTGAAAACAAAATCTGTTTTATTAAAATTCAAGCAGCTGTTAAGAACAACCTACGAATTTCATGCCCAAGTTAATACTTCTTTTTCTAATATACATATTTTCTCAGGCCTGTTATCAGACACCCAATGTGTCGGGCTTGCGCGTGTTGGATGGAAGGACCAAAAAGTACGGTACTTTTTCTTAGAACCAACTGATCATCTATCGTGTTTTTGTAAATCTGCATTTTTTTGCAGTATGTATTGATTTTCAATACCTTCAAACTATTTTAAAAGCAAGTTTAACCCGTTAAAATTTGCTAGACCACTTGCTAGGACTCTTCCTAATTTAGAAAAAACTACCTTTTTTCTTCAGATAAAATGAATGATTTAGATCATTTCTTGCTCGTTAGCCGAGATGTGTGAGACAGACCTCGGCCCTCCACTCCACAGTTTAGTTATTCCTGGAAACCTGCATCCTTTGGAAGCCGAATTTTTAAAAACATTTTCTCGTACGTAACACTGAACTTAAATGCTTTCTCGAAAGCCCAAGAAATTGGTGTTGATAGATGCTTCACAGCGGTTATGTTTGGTTGGCTCGTACTAGTTTTTTTTTGTGTAAGGCTCTTTCAAAGTTTGAAAAAAGGAGCTTACGGTAACAGAGAAAGACTGGGATGGATTTTTAAATGTCAGAAAAGATGAACTGCAAGGGCACTATTTTTCTTCCAAAATGAACTGTTTTAGCGTTAGTGCGAATAGAGGGATAACGAAGAAGAGTATCTTAATGATATAAAACGTTAAGTGAAGAAGATATTGAAGTTTTAAAAGGTACGGATAGGGGTGATGGATAAGGCAAGAAAGTGACTCGATTCATTAGGAAAATATAAAGCTGTTCAACTCCCAGAACCAATTAGTGTGCAATCTTCTTGATCCGATAATATGTTCGAACATTATTATGTGGCGGGCTTAGTTTGAAGCCATCAGTCCTTGTCGCAAATACCAAAAGCGGTTTGACAAACAAGGACTATTTAAAATTTGCGATGGGTTTTTTTCATATGTTGGCAGCAGCAATGGCTTATCCCATGTAGACTGCGAGGAAATTTACATTTGGCTTATCAAGAAGCAAATCGGGGAACACTCGCCTGTTACGCTGCAGTTGTACGAGTTACAATTTAATGATCTCTCTTATAAGAGTCACTGAGGAGCTAAAATCGTTGTTATGCTCCTACTTAGCTCTTATTTTGATCGTTGAATTTTGTTGAACCGTGTCTAATAAAATTTTTTCATCTTTGGTACTTATTCCGAAAACATTTGTCTTTAACGTTTTCCAAGCTGTATTACCTTGATCAAAAAATTAATCGAGAACAGTGCACTGCGCGCTGTGGTTGTGAGTTGTTCGCTGCCGCATCTACAGGCAGTCCCAAGGCAAAAATATTGTTGTTGGGATGTGCTGCGACCAACTAGATCATTATTCAGGCAAAAATGATTCTGTGTAACATTTAAGCTTTCCAGCAACTCAATTTCAACTTGCGAGATTTGTTTTTTTTGGAGCCTCGATGGACGTACTAGCTTTCCTAGGCACAATGGTTTAGGATGTTTACTTTTGACACTGAGAAAGTAATGCATTGTGGGGTGATGCACTTGTACTCCGCATTGGTACTATATTAGTACACTCCTCAGTAACACCAAAGATGGGTATCGTGCGGATCTAAAATCTATGGCTTGATAGAAAGATAAGTAATTTGTAAGGAGATTGGTGTTCAT